CCTTGCGGCCCGGCTGAGCCCCGCTCTCCTCTGCCCGCAGAGCCTGAGCACCGGGATGGCGGTGGCCGGGGTGCTGGTGCTGGCCCGCAGCGTCCGCATGGTGAGTGCGGGGGGCTCGGCCGGTTGCGGGGGGAGGACGGGGTGGTGTCACGCGTGTCTTTTCTCTTGAGGGGCATCTCCACGGCCAGAACCCGGACACCTTCCCCGCCATTCTTGTTTGTTTTCCTCGGTGCTGCCTGTCCCGCTGCAGCTTCCTGCAGTCCTTTATCCAGCTAATTAGCACGGCACCAACTCTGGTGTGCAGCCCAAACACAACCATGGGACCTTCAGAGACCATCCAGTCCAACCCCCCACCACAGCAGGGTCACCCAGAGCAGGTTGCACAGGATCATGCCCAGGTGGGTTTTGGAGATCTCCAGAGAAGGAGACCCCACCAGTGGAGTTCCAGCCTGTTCCAGTGCTCTGCCACCCCCAACGTAAAGAAGCTTTTCCTCACGTTGAGGTGGAATTTCCCATGTTCCAGTTTGTGCCTGTTTGCCCCTTGTCCTGTCTCTGGGCACCACTGAGAAGTCTTGCCCCATTCTCTTGGCACCCGCCCTTTAGATACTGATAAACATTGGTGACATCCCCTCTCACTCTTCTCTTCTCCAGGCCAAACAGACCCAGGTCTCTCAGCCTTTCCTCGTAAGAGAGATGCCCCGTATCATCTTTGTAGCCTTATGCTGTACCCTCTGCAGTAGTTCCTTGTCTTTCTTGAGCTGGGGAGCCCAGAACTGGACACAGTGCTCCAGATGTGGCCTCACCAGGGCCAAGGAGAGTGGGAGGATGACCTCCCTCGACCTGCTGGCCATGCTCTTTTTAATACACCCCAGGACACCATTGGCCTCCTTGGCCAAACTGTCTCATGCCTCTAGTTCAAGTAAAGCTGAAATAGTTTCCTTGCATCTGTTCTCCCTACTTCCATGAACAGAACTGCTTTTTGAATATTTTTAAACATGAGCCTAAATCTTTGTTCACTTCTTCAAATGATGGGTTTGTGGCACGTGCTAATTCTACCCCACCGGCTCCAGCCGCAGCTGTGCCCACGCAGGTGGGGACCAACCACTCGCCCGTGTTGTTCCAGCTCCTTATAAAATAATACTGACTCTGACCTTCCCTCTGCACAGCTCCAAATGCAGTTTGCTATGAGAGAACATTTGTATGAAGTTTTTACTTTAAAATCTTAAAGGGAAGCCTGTACTACAAAAGTTGCCAGAATTCTTTTTTTTTCTTTTTTTTTTTTCTAATTTTTCTGCTTTGTTTGTTGCCTTTTTGTTTTTTTAAACCCAGGGTCCATGAATGTGTTAACCAGGCTGCCAGAGCTTCCAGTGCAAATGGGATCAGACTCGAACGAGTTCTGTTCGTAAAAACCTTCAGGCCCACAAGGTCCCGAGTTTCTGTATTCCTAGTGGGAGACCTTATGGAGCACAAATGGGAAGGTTTACTGAATAAATAACATACAGTAGAAAGATCTTTGAGCTTAGTCGTGGTGTTTCGGGTTTTTTATTTCCCCCAAGGGCTGGTGTGTCGCAGCAGTTGCACATAAGCAGATTGATACTTTTCACAGCTTTAGATGTAGGTCAGTGTTCTACAAAAGGCTTCTTGCCCCACGACCTCCAGACGTCAGTGTCTGAAGTCCTGGATGCTCCACCATCCCCAGCACTGGCCCTTCTCCCTCCTCCCCTAAACCAGTGGTGGCTTCGCTCCTCCGCTGCTGGCGAGTCTTTCCTGCTGTTAAGCTTGGTTTTCCTGTGTGATCACATAAACATCCCTTTGAATCCTCCTGTTAATCAAGGGCTATGGTGTCAGATTTAATCTCCTTGTGATCTTTTCAAAGGTGTACACCTGCTTTTGTCCCTCTCCTCTTTTGCTCCCTTATTGAAGTCTGTGTTGTTTCTGTCCTCCCTATTCCGCCTTTGTTTTCAGTGTGTCTGTTCTGTGCACATCTTGGCTTCCGTTCGCCTCTATTCTAGGACCCTTTAGGCAGCTTCTAAAACACTCTTTTCATGGTGAATTAAGCGAACTTCAATACGCAGTGCTCAAAAAATGTCTTTCTCTAAACCCTGCCTTCATGCCCACCCCTAACATTGCAAGTCCTGTATGACATGGAATGTCCCTAAGTGTCCTGCAAGGCTGGCACATAATCACTTTTGCGGCTTGTTACTATTAAAAATATATATATATATACACACTTGTCCCTGCTGTCTAATAATAGATCTGTAATTTGCCAAACTGTTTCAAGAAGAAGTTGGATTTAACATGATTGTTACTGCTGTACTTTTTTTTTCAAAAATTTTGTCTTGCTCTTTCCATCAATAGACAACAAAGTTTACTAGTGCTTCGGATATTCCTGTGGGGTTTGTAGAAAAGAATGTGAAATTGCGAGGAAAATTACATCACATAACTGAGAGAGGCCTGGAAGTTGAACACATTCCCATTAGCGTTCCTTTCATTTCATCGATACAGAGAAAATGTGAGTAAAAGAAAGTGGGGATGAAACTTTGTTCTTAGTGCGGCTGCACAGAGAAGCAGTAGGGGGAAGCTTGAGAGGAAGGGCTGAGTTACAGTCCTGGCTCTGCCTTTTTCCATACTTTCCAGGTGGAAAATTGGGGAATAAACAACTGCGAAGAGAGCTGTAAAAAGAGCTTGCTAATACAATATTTGTATTAATTGGCATAATTATAATGATATTTTTCTGGCAGCAAATGCTAGCATGCAGACGGTTCATTTGCATGCATAGCTCATCTCATTCCTGGCAAAAAGACTCTCTTGGAATTACGCTTTTATTTAGGGATGAAGGTCTGGCAGCCACATACACAAAGCCAGTCTCAGGGACAGTGACTTTGGCAGAAGTTGTCCATCAAGTCTGTGAGTCACACGCTGGCTCTGGGAATACCTGCAGGTGCTGATGCTTCTTGCCTGGTGTTTCTGCCCCTTCAGATAAAGTAATAGTGACAGATAATGAAAGCAGTTCTTCCTGTTTGCATGCAAAATAAACCAAACTAGCTTAAACAAATTGTGCGATCTTGAATTATTTTTTTTTTACTGAAGAAGAGTGAGACCAAATTCTTATTTGCAAATAAGTTGTGCTTTGGGGAACTAAAATGGATTTTTCTTAAATCCGTGGAAATAAATTCATTACCAACAGCTGAGGGTCTGTTCAAAGCCTAACATTTCCCTTGCTGCATTCGGTAATAAAGTTCTCTCTCTGTATAACCAGGGCAATCAAAAGGTCTTCTGCTGGTGAGGCTTGCTGGGGTGGAGTTGGCTCCGAGTGGCATGGCCTGGTTACAGCAGGAGTTAAAACCCAAACAAACGATATGGTTCCAACTTCTTGGAAGGGAGGACTTGGCCCTTGAGTGCCTTGTTTTAGTAAATAAGGTAAATATAGTGACAAAAACTGAATTTTGTCTGCAGTTTTGACTGTACTTAGGTGATTCCGTTATCTCAGTACATTTAAGGAATGTAATTATTTGTAATTTATCTATCTTAATATGAATTTTAAATGTTGTATTTGTAAATCGGATTTCAAGAGCAGTATTTTTGCAGACTGATTCATGACAGGAGTGTATTTCTCTGGCAGATATTGCTAAGGTATATCGTGTAATTCTGATGACCCTGGTGTTTAGTCCAATAAATGTTCTCTCCCAAATGTCTTGCATTAGTATTATGTTTTAACGGTCAGCTGGATTCCTCTTAACTATTAACTCTTTCTGCCAGAGGGTAGATTTAGCCAGAAGTAAAGCTTGTCTCTCAGAGGGAGTTCATATACACAAAAGAACCCCTTAAAACTGTTTTAAAGGTGAAGTGAATATCACATGTATTGTGCCATACACAAAAGAACCCCTTAAAAGGTGAAGTGAATATCACATGTATTGTGCTTTTTTATAGGGTCGATTTCTCAGCGTGTGCTTAAATGAAGAGATCTTGAGACAAGGGCTTGGCAGAACAGCCCGGATTGAAGGACTACACCACGATTCCCGTCTGTACTGGAAACTTCACAAAAGACTGCTTCGAGCAGAGTTAAAGGCCTTGAAGAAAAGTAAAGGGATATGGAGAGAAGAAAGCTACTCTGAAAGAATTAAAGATCGTATAAGCAACAATAAATTCCTACAGACACTGAAACAATTTGCAAACTGGTTGAGAGGCTCTATTTAAGGGTAAAAAGGGAGACCGGCTTGGAGGAATGCCAGTTACCGGTGTCACGTGCTTTATGTAAAGTAGAAGTTTATGATAAAAAACAGGGCCATAATTTTGAGGGTCCTTGTCTTGAACAGAAAACTCATTGTTATTTAATGCCACATTCTAACCCAGATGGGATTGAAATTTAGTAGTAGTAGTAGCCAGGCCACAAATTAAAAAGTTCTGAAGCTGAATTTTTCTACAATAATGTCCTAAATGAGTTGTCCACTTTTCCACCTGCTACATACCTGCACAGCTGTGTTAACTGAGTAGTGAAGGGAGTCCACAGTCCAGTTTTTGAGGTACAGATTTAGTTCACAGTCTACGGCCTTAAATGCTTCTCTGTTTCATGTCATCACTACGTAGCCCACATTGGTTAGAAAACTCCATTTCAGACCTTTACAAAGCTTGTGGTATGTGTTTACACATGAGTATTTTATTTGAGTTCTATTCTTATACTACTTTTATGTATAATTTGTGTTTTAAAAATGTTTCATCCTGAATAATGGGCTGCATAGTTACCTATATAAAAAGGTAATTTGTTATGGCTGGTCTTAAAAAGCTGGTCGTAACAATATGATCGTAACAATATGACACATAAAGTCATAACAACTAAAGTTTCTCAGGAAAAAAAAAATCACTTGGTGTATCAAAGAATATAAATTCATATGTCAGTAATCCGAATTTTTAGAAGACAACATTCACTTGAAGAGGAAAAATCTATGCTGTTTTTTTCTGATGGTTCTATAAATACCTAAAATTAGATTATAATAAAAGTTTAACATGAAATTTGAAAAGGTGGACCATAGTGTGTTAAGAACTTAAATTCTTGTTTTATTTTTGAAACAGATGTTGAGTATATGAGAGCATATTAATATTTATTTTGTAAATATTCTCAGAATAAACATTGAATTTCTTATGTTCATTGTTACATGTTTTATATACCGAGCACTTGACCTTTGTTTAACCTCCCACAGTCCCAATATTTATTTAAAGTGAAGTGTTTTACAGATTTTCTTTCTTTCTGTGTGATTGCTTGCCAATGCAGTCCTAGGGAGAAGAGTGTGGTACAGAAAAAATCTTAATAGCTGAGCATTGCCTGTCTGACAATTAGTTACTATGTCATTTCCTCTGCTGACTTCAGGGCAAAATTGTGAATCCTTAGATCCTAAAAAAAAAAAGCAGCTTTTCTTGAGGAAGAATAGATGCTAGTGCTTCCTTATTACTTTTGTTCTCAGGTGTGAGGCTGGTTTTTGCAAAGCCCAGTGAGCAGTTAGCCATGAAGTACCTGCAGCACAGGTCTCAGTGTTGGAAACCAGCATGGAGAAGGGGGAGCATCTCTGTGGGCAGAGGCAGACCTTGATGGGAGCTGGAAACCTCTCCCTGTTTAAAAAAGAAAAAAAAAAAAAAGGTGAGGCATCTGGTTTTATGCATTATACAGTGAAAAGCTGGGCCAACCACTGCTGTGGTACTTGGACACAGAAGTCATACAGATGGTCAGGGATTTGGGATCCACTGTAGCATCCTCCAAAGTGAAATTCAAAGTTGACTTTTAACCCCAAACGACGAGTTTAGTCTCAGCAATAGTCTACAACCCATGAGTGATTATAGCTGTTCCTACATCTGGTAAGTAGAAAAAGCTTTTCCAAACTGGGCATAATTGTATAGTTATATTTTTTTTTTCTGTAATAATTAAATACAATTCTACTTGGACTTTGCACTTGTAAGTGAATCCTAGGAGGATTTATCACAAAAATCCACACTAAAGCTGGGAGAAAAATCTCAGGAAACTGCATGCTACGTTTCTAACAAGCAGAGGTGAGGTGTGGATGAATATGAATCAAATTTGTTCCTTCATAGTATCGCCTCTTAGCCCTTTTTCCTCTTGATGAATTTCAGAAAAACCCTAGAGACTTTTCTAAATTACAGCAAACTGTTGTATCCTTTCCACTAGGTTGTGGCTTTTGAAAAATTTTTAAAAGGTGTCAATACACCTGTTTTATTGCTTATGTAGAAGAAGCCTCCCCTTAGCCTGAACTAAATTTTTGAAGTTCCCTTCCCTGTATTTGTGGCCATGAAGTAGTCTAACAAATAATTTCAGAGGGAACTATGGAAAGGGATATCTAAAATCTTTGAATTCGGACCTCTGATCTCTTTTCATGTTTGTTGCACATAACAAGAAGTTGTGGTGATGTTCTCTTACTAGTTTTTTGATCAGAATACAAACCCGGGGAAGCAGCTTGGTGTAAGGGATCAGTGCTGTAAGGGACAACACTAGTCTCACAGAGAGTAACCAGTGGTGTGGGATTTGAGATTGCACTGACAACTGATTTCACGAGGGTCAACTCCTCTAATTGTTTGTTAATGCTGTTTTCCTTATCGTCCAGGGCTTATCTGTTTAAAAAAAAACAACAAAAAAACAACAGCACCACACCCTCCCCCCTCAAAAAAGGACAACCCAGTTCAAAGCTGTGCTTTCCATCTGTGCAAGGCTTGAGAGGTTGCAGATCTTGTCTCCGTGGGAGGCCAGTCTATTGAAAAACCGGTAACAGGAGTAGAAACAAATAGCTCTGCAGAACCAAGCCGAGGAACTGACTGGGAGGTCAGGAGGAGAAAAAGCACTTTTCTCCATTATGTAAAAACACCCCACGCTGCCTCTGAGGAGCACTATCCCATTCCTCCAGCCACAGAAGCAGTGCACACAAGAGTATTTCCAAGCAGAGGATGCAGTTCTTGTGTGGTTGGGACCAAGAATTAAACTGTTTAGCTCTTGTGCCTTCACCCCTTTAACTCTGAATACGCTGTGAGACATACATCTTAAAAGGATCATAGGGAGTGAAAGGAGAGGCCTCCAAATGGCCCACTAAGAAAAATACCTACAGCATTGCACAGGCTTTTTATTGCTGGTGGGGCATGTAAGGCAAATGGTTGTCATAAACATCACCAGCTTTCCTGGGAGCCCGCCTGAAAGCCTCCTTCACTGACAGACTCACAAGGAAGCCTGGCCCTGTGCACAGAGCGAGGCCTCGCCGCCAGGCAGCCATGGGTGCTGGGGGAATCCCCCCTGCCAGGGGCCCTGGGAGAGGAGAGACGGCAGAGACGCTTTCCTCGGGTCACCTCATAGAATCATAGAATGGTTAGAGTTGGAAGGGACCTTAAAGATCCTCTAGTTCCAACCCCCCTGCCATGGGCAGGGACACCTCCACGAGAGCAGGTTGTAATGTCATTGCAATGTCCCCGCTCTCTTCCCAGTCTGTCGGGGTTCACACCTGCTGGTTCCCTATAAAAAGCTCCTCAGTCACCCACTGGACTTTCAGATATAAAAAGTTATATCTTCAAAGGAAGGGTGTTAACTCCTCCAGCAGAGATGTGTCTTCCCTCACGCCAAGCCTTTGGGTAGCTAAGGTCAGGGAAACCAGAGCCGTGCAAGTTCTGGTTATCTCTTCCCTGCGGCTAGTTTCCCTTACCCAAGGCAGGTGAACTGCCCTAAGGGTTCATCGTAGACTTTTAAAGGTAAAAACCCCCAAAAGTCAGTCAAACCCGGTGATTTCCCTCCCCAGGAACTAGTCCCTCAGGGGCTGTGAGGAGAATGGCGGGCGGTGCCGCCCCGCCCCGCCGCGCGGCAGGTGCGGCGGTTGCCGCCGTCCCGCGCGTCTCCATGGCACCCGCCGCCGGCGGGGCGAAGGTGAGCCTGAGGGGCCGCGCCTGAGGGGCCGCTCCGCGCCCGCAGTCCCCGCCGGACGGCGGCTCGCCTCAGCCCGGACCGCCTGCCCCCGGCTCGGCTCAGGCAACTCCGTGAGTCCCGCCGTAGGGAGCCCGTCCCGGCACGGTGAGGGAAAGGGCCCCCCGGCAGCCCCTAGGCGGGTCGGCGCTGAGGGGCAGCGCGGCGCCCCGCCGACTCGCAGCGGACACACAATAGAGCAGGTTGAATGGGAGCGGGCGCGGGGCCGCCGCAACACCGGGGCTGGATCGCCGGCCTCAGCCGCCGCCGCCGGGGCTCCGCTGGCGGGCGGGAGCGCGCTCCGCTCCGGGCAAGGAGCGGCTCCGGGTTTCCCCTGCGCTCCGCGCCGGAGGGCGGGCTGGGCCGGGCCGGGGCGGGGCGGGCGGCAGCGCCGTACGTTTGAACGAGAGAGCAGGTTGAGGTGGTGGGGGAGCGCGACGGGACCGAGCTGAGCCCAGCCCAGCGACCCACGGTGAGTGAGTGAGTGAGTGAGTGAGTGAGTGAGTGAGTGAGTGAGTGAGTGAGTGACGGATCTGCTCCCGGACAGGACGCCCCGGGCCCCCCGGCCCCTGAGGCGCAGGCGAGTGGGCGGCTGTGGTGCGGCCCCCGGGGGGGGGCTCCCTGCGGTGGGGCCGGCCCAGAGCACCCTCGGCAGCATCGCGGGGTCCCTGAGGGAAAAGTCAGCGGCCGAGGGGCTGCCGGTACCGGGGGCTTTTCCTCGACGTGCCTGGTGTCGGACGGAGTCTCAAGGTTGCGTTGGCCGTGTTTGTTCTGTCGGTTGAATAATGAACGGTGCCGGGTAAACTTTTAAGTCGTCTTTTGGGCTCTGTGCTCCTTCTCTTGGGGGTAAAACTCGCTTTTGCCGTGTGGCTCCGGAGGTTCTGCCGTGGGGTTGTGTCAGAAGTTGCAGCACCCGCTTTGGTGCTGAGCTAAAAGCAGAGAAAACTGCTGCCGCTCGGTATGGTTTAGGCTTAGGGAAAACCGTGTGAAACGAGGCTTAAAACATAAAATCCTGTCTCTGCTGCGAGGAGCGGGGGACATCACCCCAAAAGCGTTGTAGGGTGCGATGCTTTCGATCACGCTTGGTCCCCACCCTGTAAGATGCTGCCAAAGGCGGTGGTCGAGAAGAATCAAGCCTCTTGCTGGATTGACCCCTTCCTAAAAATGCCTTGTTTGAGGGTTGATAATCCATGCCAGAAACCATTTTTCAAGAAAGGAAAAAAAAAAAAGAAAGAAAGTACAACGAGCTGGGAATTATACTCAATGCATGTTTTGTTGTAATTAAGCAACTGTATAATTCTGGGAACTTCAACTCTAGCTGACCGAAAAGTGTTTTGAGAAGAAGTGTTATTAAATTACAGGGAGAAAGGTATAATCCTTATCTGATGAACTAGTCATAGGCTCTTTGTTTAAAGTGTGCTTTAACTCCTGAGTTGTAAAGCACAATGTTTGCCTGTTTTGAGTGGACTCTTGTGATTTACTTGTCCTTGGGACTTTTGGCCCTTAAGTTACAAAACTTAGAGGAGGCAAAAGAAAATTTTGGGTGCATGTTGTTCTGAAATGTGAAAGAATACCTGCACATAACACTACTGAAAAGAGAGACAGGGGTCAACCCTGCAACAACACAACTGAATTAAAGATAATGTGGTATTTGGAAAGAAAATGCAGACTTTTTGAGAGGTGGCAGACAGCAGAGTGCATGCACAGTGTTAAAAATCTGCCTGTCTTCAAATGTTAGCTCCCTGGAATAAGTTTGAGAACACTTTATCTTTCTTTTTTAAACTTTGAAGGATGCTTTTTCTAGGTTTAAAAATGCCACTAGACTATTACATGAAAAAATGTTATGTTTTGTCAGTTGAAGATGCACGGTTTGTGGAAAATTATCTGACTGGTTGCAGACGCTTTCTGGTTTTGTGCTACCTATTGTCTATAAAAATGGGGATCAGCTGGTGGTTTTGGATCAAGTGGTGCACAACTCATTATTTTAACAATACTGGCTCAGCTTGGGAGGTTGCCTAGGGAATTGATTTAATGCTTCTGTCCTTTCACCCTTTGAGGCGGGTGTCCCACGATGACTTTGATCAAAATCACCAGTATTCGTAAAGGAGAATAAAATTTTCACTCCATAAAAGCAAAGGAGAGGCCACCCGCTATTAACAGATCCCAGTTTTGCATGAGTTGATCTGTAATTTATAACA